CTTCTGGATTCTTGATTCTATACTGGGTATTTGTGGTGCTTCCATTGTACCTCTTACTGCTATCACAGAACTTAGAAATGTGTGATTTTTGTGGGTTCTTTGTATTATTACCCTCACAAAACTATAAACTTTTTGAAGCAGGCACTAGGTCTTGTTCAATACTGTATCCCCGGTATTTATCAGTTTCTAACACAGTTGAGATATCTCATGCTCAATATTTGAGTGAATGAATTGAATTGAATTAAATATGTATGGTAGGCATAATACTGGCCTCCAAGGATATTCAAGTCTTAATCCATGGAACCTGTAAATGTTACCTTATATGATAAAAGGGATTTTAAAGATGTGATTAAGAATTTTGAGATGGGGAGATTATCCTGAATTATCAGGGTGGGCCCAAAAGGCAGTCACAAGCATACTCAAAAGAGGGAGGCTGAAGGAGATTTGCTACAGAAGAAGACAATGTGATCACCAAAACAAGATGCTACTGGCTTTGAAGATGGAGGGTGGGCCAGGAGCCAAGGAATCCAAGGAATGCAGTTCTAGAGTTAGAAAAGTAAAAGAAGGGATTCTCTCCTAGTGGACACCTTGATTTTGGCCCAATGAAACCGATTTTGGACTTCGGACCTCTAGAACTGTAAGAAAATAAGTGTGTGTTGTTTTAAGCCACCAAGTCTGTGGTAATTTGTTACAGCAGCCATAGGAAACGAATATAATATGTAAGTTCTGATTGGCACATACACTCTGGGTTTTACATATATACCAACAATCAACTTGCCCCTCTCACTGTGGGAATTTCTGCTGCATTTCTGGATCCCAAGACCTTTCACACTTCTCTGTCCCAGCATGAAATAAGCCACCTCCTCATTTTTACTTTGATATTCCTGGTTGAGGTTTGATAAAACCTTTACTGTTGGGCAATACCAAGGGAGCCTAATTTAGTTCAGTAATTTAAGAACAATTTGTTAAGTACCTGTCGTTTGTTAGGCACTATAACACTGGGTCTTGTGGATATAAAAGTTGAAGGGCTTAGCCTCATCTGGAAATGAGGGGAATATTTCCCATGGAAATAATGTTTTGGATTGAGTCTTTAATGATAAGAATGTCAAATGAAAAAAAGTGGACGCCATGCGAGGCAGAGGGAAAAAATGCATACACAGGTCTGGAGGCATGAAACAGTAGTGTGCGTATCAGGAACTGTGGCTACTTGGTATTCCTAGACCTTTATAAGTTAGGGGATTTATGAGAGAAGAGCCTGGAGAGAATTTGGAATCATATCATGGAGGGATTTAAATGAGAAGATGGGGATGGATGGAAGGATGGACAGATAGACAAGCAGATTAATATAAAGACAGAGAAAATCAGGAAGGACAGCCTTGGACCAAGGATGGAACTCATAAGAGAGGACAGAAGAGAAGATCTGGGAGACATCTCACTATGAGGGGATGTCTCAGCAGTCAAGGAAGCAGAGAGTTCCACCAAGAAGTGAGTGGCCAACAGTGTCAGACACAGCAGGTGCGTTCTGTAAAAGGCAGGACTGAAAGGTGGTCGTTGGATTTGGCCACAAGATGCCCTGGTGCTTTTTTGAGCAGAGTAGCAGTGTAGAAGAAAGTTTGTAGTGGGTAAGGACTAAATAATAACTGAGAAAAAGGAATGAGAGAGTGATTACTCAAGGAGTATGTATTCTTCTCTTTGATGTGGGTATAAAACTTTGCTGGGGATGGTGAAATGGTCATGACTTGTATCTGTGCGGAAAGGCCCCACATCCATTTGTGAGGACAGACAAGCCTTCCTCCCACTGACGTTTTTTTCCAATTTTTTCAATGAAGCTCTACTTTATATGCAGTAAACTTCACCCTTTCTAAGTAGATAGTTCTGAGAGTTTTGATAAATGTATATAGTTGTGTAACCAACACCACAATCAGGAAATAGAACAGCCCCATCACCCCGGAAGATTCCCCCCATACTCCTTTGTAGTCAGCCCATTTCCCTACCTACAGCCCCTGGTAACCACTGATCTGTTTTCTGTTCCTATAGTTTTGTCTTTTCCAGAATGTTCAATAAATGTAATCATACAGTATGTAACCTTTTGATTCTGGCTTCTTCCACTTAGCATAGTGCATTTGAGATTAATCCATGTTGTTGCGTGTATTGGTAGTTTGTTCCTTCTTTATTGTTGAGTAGTATTCTGTTGAAGGGATGTACACAGTTCGTTTACCCATCCTCGGCTGAAAGAGATTCGGGTTGTTTCTAGTTTTTGATGAATAAAGCTGCTGTAAACACCTACGTATAGGTTTTTGTGTGAACATGGGTTTTCAGTTCACTTGAGTCAATCTCTAGGCATGGAATTGCTGGGTCTTATGACATATATATATGTAGATATATATATGTTTAACTTTATAAGAAACTGCCAAACTCTTTTCAAAGGAACTGTACCATTTTGTGTTCTTACGAGCAACAAATGAGAGTTCATTTCCTCTGCATCTCTGTTATCTTCTTTTCCTCTTGATCTCCTTATAGTTTAGCTCCTTTTCAAACCTCTCATACATGGCTGAAGCACCTGCTAAGTGTGAGTGAGAGCAGTGCAGATAATCATGTGGTTAGTTGTCAGGCATTAGAATCAGTGATTTGATTCGCTTAACCTAGGACTCTCAATTTCACCATAAAAAGAGTTTTCTTTTTTTTGTTTATTCTCTTTCTGCCTAAAATAATATGAAACTCTTTTGAGCCATGTTATGAGGGTCACTGATTAATTTAAAGAATCTAGCATGCTGCCGGATAGTCACTAATGTCAATTTAAGGAAATAATAAAGCGATAATGTCTTGAAGTAGTTAAGTAACTTTTAGTTCCTGTTTTATTGAATGTTTTTAACTCCGTGTTCTGAATTGTGTTGATTAAAGCCACAAATAACTGATTCAGGGTTGGCTTTCCCCAAACCCAGACCTTTTTTTTAATTCACTGGTGGTGGTTACATTTGTAACAATCAATTTGGGTGTTATCAGTACATAATACACTCAAGGAATGTGTTATCGATTAAAAAAAAAAAAAAAGCTTGCTTCCTTTGTGTGAATCCAAAACTATACTAAGTCACCAGTTCACCTTTCAGCCCCTGAAATAGTTTACCTGCTCTTCTAGCCATGACCTTGCTCTCAAGAGAAATGATGTCAGGGTTCATCTCATTTGTTTGGAAGCAGTAAAGAAGTAAATTATTTGCCTTTTCAAGATCTAATATTCATTAGTGCCTGTAAGTAATGTTTGCTCGGAATAGTACAGGTGCTGTTTCTGTTCCTTGAACTCATCCTATTTTCTACTGTCTGAATAACATTTCTTATTCCTTCAAAATTTTTTTTGTGGCAGAAAACATTAGCATAACAAAAACCTCTGTAGGTTTTTTTCAAAGTTATAAATGTTCAATATATTTAGTTTCCTTTAAACTAAAAATTAAGAGTCAGTAAAGATTGACCAAGAAGGGTGACATTCAAAAGTGATAAATGTAAAGTCTTGCATACAGGGTGAAAAAATCGATTTTATAAGTAGAGACCTTGGAGAACTGACCCAGCAGCAATTCATTAGGAAGTAAATGAGTAACACCTGGGGGTTTGAGTGTACCACCTGCTCTGCATGAAATATTGGTGTGATGGGGCTGCTGAAGATAGGCAGATGTTTTTTTAAGATGCATTAATGTTTGGATAATTGCTCCCTCTGTTTTGCATGAGTTGGATCACATCTTGAGTATTGTGTTAATTTGGGTCATTTCTGAGGACAAAACTTCAAAAGTTCGGAAGTTGCAATAAAGTGTTTTTGACTGCTTTTAGCAGAGCTCACTAACAAGGACTGTGACTAGCAACCCAAAGGGACTTTCACACAAAGTAGCGAGCTTCTCATCAGTGGAAGAGTTGAAACTAGAATATTAGCTTCATGAGTATGGATTTTTTTCTGTACTGGTTGCCCTGTGTCCCACTGCTTAGAACAGTGCCTGGCACGTAGTAGGCACATAATTGTTGAATGTATGCGTGAATGGGAGTCCCTGGGTGATGCAAACAGTTAACATGCTCGACTGCTAACTGAAAAGTTGGAGGTTTGAGTACCTTGGAAGAAAGGCTTGGCAGTCTGCTTCCAAAATATCAGCTGTTGAAGACCCTGTGGAGCACAGCTCTCCTCTGACACACATGGGGTCACCATCAGTCGGAGCTGACTCAACTGCAACTGGTTTTTTATGAGTAAAAGACTAATGACTATCTCTTAGGAAGGGTATTCTCAAGAGGACTGCTATGTTAGATGAACAGGATGGCCACAGAGATTGTATGATTTTAGATACCCAAAGAACTGAAGATTCATTTGGAGAAAGAAAATGATTAGCTGATAACATGATAATCTAATTTATAGTATTAATAAATGTAATTTGACCTCAGCAACATAATGACTTTTTAGGTGTTTTCTGTCTGTTGCTGAATTTTGCTTCAGACTGGTGTATGCTTTAGTGACATGGTAACGAAAGGTTGTTTTTTTGCCACCCCCACTGATCACCAAGATTGATGTGGCTAGTCTGAGTGGCTAGTTAGGTCGCCCCTGGTATCCTCATTCAGTCAGAGAAGGTGAGCGTCCAAGATGGAGGACAGCATTCTCAGTAATGTGTGTATAAGTCTCTGTATCCCTCTTTGATAACTTCGAAAGAATGGCAACAGACTCCTTCCAATGATGCTATTCTTATGATACCAAAATTATTACAACTTTGAGGGGGCTTCTGCCATTCTGCAACTAGTGAAAAGTAGAATGAGCAGAGGGAGTACCAGATGACGACAATTGTAAAAGCACCTCTGATCTGGAAACCAAACCTCTTGACTTCTGTGTTAACAAATCACACGTACATTGGGGGACTGTTATGTACCAGATGCACGTGGTATTTCTTTAAAGAATTGATATACAAGCCAAAAGGTATCCATCCTTGCTCTTCGTTTCTTTCTGTTTCTTTTGATACAATTGCTGTCTTCCATTACAGAGCACCAGAACTACTTCGGAATAGATGAAAACCTCGGCCCTGTGGCCATAAGCATCCGGAGAGAGAAGGTCGAAGATGCTAAGGAGAAAGAAGGATCCCAGTTCAACTATCGTGTAGCTTTCAGGACCAGTGAGGTAATGGAACTGCTGTGCATTGTGACTGTCTGTGGGCCGAAGTCTGAAGATGAATAAAAACTGTCCTCAGGCCACTTGACTAGAAGATACCCCTTTTAGGACATATTTGTCTATATTGGGTGTTTTTTCTTCTGTTAATGATTCCACCACCAATTGGTATAAAGATTTATATGTACAAGTATCTCTATAACTGACCTTGAGAACATAAAACTATTGACTATAAATACCAGATTATATACAAATATCCCATTATAGGTATAATAACTGATCATTTTTAAATGTTTACCATATACTCAGCATTGTTCTAAGTACTTTACACGTATTTGCTTATGTTTCCCCCTTTTTTACATGAGGTAGCTGGCACAGACAGAGGCTTAGGCACATAACTTGCCTAAGGTCTCTTAACTCATGAGCGGTGGAGCTAGGATTTGCACCTTAGCAGTCTGCTTTCAGAGCCAGGCTTCTCAAACCCTAGAGAGGGGCCCTGAGATGACCCCCAGTTTCTCCCTGCACGGGATATGATGTCACAGTTTCTAGGGGACCTGTATAGTTTACCCTCAGTATACCTTCAGTATTATTGCTTTGATTTGCTTTAGACGTGGCAATGAATTTATTTTTTAATTTTAACATTAAAGAATGCATGCAGCATTCATGGTAATGGAAAAGAGTTAAAGAATAAAAATTATGAAACTTGCCATGGATGTTAAATGGTAATGATTTTGACTGCCATCTTGCATGAACGTAGGATAAAATGATACAAATGGAAGGTTTGGGGGCTAAGACAGGGAGGACAGTCATGAACTATGCAGTCTGTGCCAAACAGATCTTAAAGATGACTCTAAAATCTAACACAGAAAATCGGATAGCCTGCAGTAGGGTGATTGTTTGAGTAGTGTTTTTACCAGCATAGTACCTCTGCCTATCCCTCCTTCATTCCATTGAGGGCCTGGGTTAATTCCTTCTTGTCTTGCTTTGAGTAGTGAGATTGTTATAGAAATGACACAATACAGAGCTAAATAGGTAGAGATGCTAATTCTGCCCTGCACTTTAGGTTTTATTCTCTTAACTCATTTTAGTTAGAAGGCCATCCCTGGGTGGTGCAAACAGTTAATGCTCTTGGCTACTAACCGAAAGGTTGGTGGTTCTAGTTCATCCAGAGGTGCCTCGGAAAAAAGACTTGACAATCTACTTCCCAAAAATGAGCCATTGAAAACCCTATGGAGTATGGTTCTACTCTAACATCACGGGGTCGCCATGAATTGGAGTCAACTCGACAGCAAGTGGTTGGTTATATTTGGCCAGTATTCCAGAATATGTATTTTGGTTGACTACTTCTAGATCATACTGACAGAGGGAAGAGAGCCTTTCTCTAGTTCTGTGCAGTTTGCATGAGCATGTGTACCACTGTGCATTTTACCTAGTACTTAGGCCTTCCAGCGACCCAGGCTCTGTGCTGGATATGTAAGATAGAGCGCTCTCTTGAAGTGACATAATTTAATGTCACTTTATAGACCTGTGCTGTCTAATTTAGTAGCCCCTTGCCACACGGGCCTATTTAAGTTTAAAGTAATTAAAATTAAACATTCAGTTTCTCATGTTGTTGTTGGATGCCACTATTTCACTTGCTCAGTATTAGGTCTGAGGCATGTATTGAGAGTAGTGATCCCATGCTTTCATGGCATATTTGAGGGCATGCAACACATCACAGGTAAAGCTTAGTGGAGGTCTTCTAAGTCCTGAACCAACCTGCACAGGGCACCACTGCCCAGGGTATCACAGGGTGCCCCTGTTCAGCCTAAGGGATCATCAGCAATGGATAATAGAAGAGAAGAAAGGGAGTAGGAGAAAAGAAGATGTAGAGAAACGGAGAAAACAGGAAAAATAAGGAAGGATGGAAGAAAAGTGAGCGTCCTCCTCAATATAATTCACATGCGGGAAACAGAGAATTATAGAAATATCTTTATTTTACATAGCAGCACCATGTCTTCCTTCTCCTTATTCTTCAGGCACGCATCTGATTATCTCAACCCAGCCTGACTTCCCCCTGATCCTTGTATATTTTTGTTGTTTAAAGACTATTTGAGTGTTGGTTTTGCTTCCTCAAATTGAGTATGTTAGTGTCCTTTGCCCGCTCTTCTTTTTGTAAGGCAGCTAACAAATTATACTTTACGTAGGTAATCAGGAATAATTGGTAACTGAAGTCTTTACTCCCCTCTGCAGCTTACAACACTGAGAGGAGCGATTTTAGAAGATGCTGTACCCTCCACGGCTAGGCATGGTACCGCACGAGGACTACCTCTGAAAGAAGTTCTGGAATATGTCATTCCAGAGCTGAGCATTCAGTGCCTGAGACAGGCTTCGAACTCCCCCAAGGTCTCGGAGCAACTACTCAAGCTTGATGAGCAAGGGGTGTGTATAATGTGGGTTTGGGCATGAGTTTGTGTCTGTGTGTCTAAATGTTTAGAAATTTCCCTATCCATCTTTCTTTTAAAACCATTTGTTTTTTAATGCCACAGAGCATTTTATCCCTAGTTCTTCCCAAATACACATTTATTCTAGTTAAGAAACATGATACCATTATAGTGTAGTACACCTTCTGCTGAGTTGTGACTTTCATTGGTTTTACCAAGGTTTTGCTATGTTCCAGCTAGCAAGAACTCATCTGATTGTATAATTATTAGAGGTAGATAAGTGTCTTTCCCAGGGTTTAAAAACCTCAGATTGGCCCTTTCCCTGAACAAACATTTATTCTTATCTACTGTGTACAAGGTATACTAACAGATGAATGTGAACAGCATGCATTAGGAAGACTGAAGATGACGAAGACCTAGCCTACAGGGGCAGTAAGACCAAGAGCAAAAAGGACTCTATAAAGGAGTATGGTAATGATCTTGGAGAGGTGTACATACAGTGAGTGCTTTGGGAAAAGAAGAAATAACATCTAGCTGGGTAAATCTCTTGAAGGAGTTTTAACTGGCCCTTTAGGCTTGGGTAGGATTTCAACAGGGAGATAAAGAGTAGTTGGCTGTTTTAGGAAAACATGCCTAATCTAGTTTCTTTACAAGAAAAGGGTACTTGTAGGGAGGTTGTGAGAAATAAGACCAAGAAAGTAAGTGAAGCTGCTGGATGTAAGACCTTGATGCTAGGCTAAGGAGTTTGCACTGGACTCAGGAGGCATTAGGGAGCCATTGAAGGCTTTCTGGCAGGAGGTGACATGATCAGAGTCATATTTTAGGAAGATTATCCTGATAGACAGGCTGGTGAAGATGGAAACTGATGGGGGCCTGGAGCGCAATTAAGTGATTGTTGACATTGTCCAAGAGAGACTTTTCATGATGGACAGGACTGGGATGGTGGCCCAGAAGATGGAAAGAGGTCTTTTATGTGTGAGATAACTTGTAGGTGCCCAAGTGTGTACAATTTGTTTTAAATGAGTGGGTTTGTTTTTAAATGCACACGTAAGAAAAAAGACCACCGGTCAGGTGTATTTTCAGAATTTCCCAAAGAAAGTTCTTTTGCATGTTTTAGAGGGAATATGAGCGATTTCTTGGTTGATCCAGTAATCCTCATTGTGATGAAGTAGACTGATACTTCAGATGGCTGGAATTTTAAAAGTGATGAACTTGTAATTGAACCAACAAGTTAGTACTGCATTTTAAGCCAGAAGCTGGCACTTTAACATTGAAAATGAATAAACCTGGTATCTGTAAGTCTCCAGAGTTGAAGGCTTGACATGTTAGAAACAACAACCAAACCAAACTAAAACTAAATGTGAGCAGTTGACTTCTAAAACCATATTATACCCAGATGTAGGTTTTCCAGTATCATGACTGGTAAAGTATGTGGAACATAGAAAATACCCACGAAACAGTTGAGGCAAACATGTCATTGTGGAGAGAGAGAGAGGATGTATCGGTTGGTCCAAATACTCAAAGTTCGAGTATGCTTAAAGGGATCGACAGTATCCATTGTGCAGGGACAATTGGTGAGAAAAACTTGCCACCCATGTGGTAAGTTCTTTGTCCCTTTAGGTAGCTAGTAAGTTTTTGTTCTTCATTTAAAATAAATCACTGAACTGAATAGCAAGAGTCAGGTTGATTTTCTTGCCTGGAGGGTGGTATGTATGGCCCCCTAAGGCTGCTGTAGGAGAATGCCATAAATGGCTCCATTTCCCCCAAGCATGAATCAGGAAGCCCTCAGAGCCTGCATTGTGGAAACTGCCATGCAAATGAGAATTCTCTTGCGAAGCAGTAAAAAGAGAAACATTCTAGCAGCTTCCAGCTGACTGCCTCTTCATAAAGCTAAGGAAGCATTTGGGATGTCTGTGCAGCAGAACAGTCCCAAAGCTATACTGGAAATTCTAAAAATTAAGCATTTTAAGTACGTTTAACGAACACTGAATTAATTTTGAAAACTGAGTTGTACTTTTAAGCAGTCCAGTGCATCTCACTGTCCTGGATGTATTTCTTCTGCTTTTTCTTTTGAGGTTACATTTGTTCAGCTTTGGCATGTAAGATTTTACTCTCTCAGTGATGTTTAAGCTTAACCACAGTATGTTGCCTTAACTTCCCACAACTCTTAATTGATATCAGATTCCCACATTACATGAACTTTATCTCAAAAATTATTTTCATCTCTGAAAGAGATTGCACAACTTTATAACATCCCAGTTCCTCAAGTTGCCACTAACCTTTTGGGAGTTGCCACTAACCTGCGGTTGAGAGTTTACTCCAGATAATGCGGGGATTTTTTTGTTTGTTTGTTTTTGGTCTTTTTTTTTTTAATTTTCGCAGTAGTATATCTGTCCAGTAGGAGTGGGCTAATTTTCTTTTACTGTTCTAAGGGTTTTCGAATCTTGAAAAGATACTTAAAACATAACCCTAAAGTGTAACTCCACCAGTTACTTAGGTTGTAGTTCCTGCTTTCTTGCAGTTAGCAGCCAAGTATTTAACCATTTCGCCACCAGGGCTCCTTCAGCCTGAGGTTTAGAGGGGTTAAAAACGAAACCTTGGTCTGAGAGAATTGGGTGTTTTAGTACATGAGTGGTGGAGCCTCTAATTTGCTTTGTATCAAGATCAAGCTGAAAATATTTTCCTAACTCTCATATGCAGCAGAAATAGTCATGCTTGATACTGTGTTTAGATTGTTTTCACAAGGTTTACTGTGAAAGAGATTCAGAGAAAACACATCTCTTCACTAAGTATTTCATCATGTTATTACATTTAGTGGATTAACAGCGATTTATAATTAACAAGCCATGGTGTTTTATTCTAAGTCATTGGAGATATTTGTGTACCCTAAGTTCCAAGCCATGGTATTTTCAGTCACCTAATATTCATGTGAAAGCTGGACAATGAATAAGGAAGATCCAAAGAAGAAGTGATGCCTTTGAATTATAGTGTTGGCGAAAAATATTGAATATACCATGGACTGCCAGAAGAATGTGAACAAGTCTGTCTTGGGAGAAGTACAGCCAGAATGCTGCTTCGAAACGAGGATGGTGAGACTTTGTCTCACATACTTTGGACATATTATCAGGAGGGACTAGCCCCTGGAGAAGGAAATCATGCTTGGTAAAGTAGAGGGTCCTCAATGAGATGGATTGACACAGTGGCTACAACAGTGGGTTCAAGCACAGCAAAAATCATGAGGATGGTGCAGGACTGTGCTGTGTTTCGTTCTGTTGTACATATGGTCACTATGAGTCGGAACTGACTTGACAGCACCTAACAACAAGAAGTTCCATTTTGTGGACTACTCATCTGGCAAATTTATCAAAAAGGCATGGTGCCCACAAGGCATTTTCACAGGAGCTGGAGCTCTGGCCTGCAGGCCTCTGGGCAGCTGTCCACGGAGGCTTTGAAATCTGATTTAGCCACATCCTCTGATTCCCATGGTCCAGAAGCTTCTTGAATGAAAACTTGAATCCTGTTCATAGATGGGATCTAGACACAGGCTGGCTTGTTTGATGGCTGGGAAGAGAGGGGTGTGAGGTTGACAGGAGGCAGGTGACAGATGGCACAGTAAGCAGAGAAGTATCCAGTCATTTGATCTTTCCCTGAATGCAAGTCCACGAGAAATATCAAGGCCACAAGACTTGAGGAAACAGAGAGATTGTTCTTGTAGAGTGGGGGCTTTACTTAACCAGCATGGAGCCACACTGTGCCCTAGACCACTCTGCTGTAGCCCTCATCCCCTAAGAGGTGGATGTGAGAACAAAAGGGAGTAACCTACTAAGATCCCAACGCGGCCTGGGAGAAGCTCAGATGTGGCCTGGAGAGCAGACTCACCTCAGGCCCAAGGGACATTGGAGGCAAGAATAACACCCAGACGAGGCATCCAGAAGGTGGTGGTGAATAGTGCTGACAGGGCTGTGAGGTGAGCCACAGAGAGTGGAGTGGAGGACTGACAGACAGCAGCCACTGGGGCAGACAGGCTCCGCGAGTGAGGATGATTGTGTGGCACAGAGTGCAGTTCTGGATTTAGAGACAGTGGATAGTAGTGTGCACAGGCATTGGGGCCAGTGGCCATTTGAGATACATGTACCAGCCCAAATCATTCTGCAGTGTTTTTTATGAACTCTCATTAAGGCAAATAACTAGAGAGCTGAACCCCTTCAGAGAGTGGAAGAGAAGTCCAACTCTCACGCTATCAAGCATGTGAAGCAGTCATTGTGAGGGCATGTTGGAATGTTAGTACAGGCCCCAACCATCACTAAGGCCTTCAGCAACCATGGTAATGATTGCCAATCATAGGTGTTTCTTGAATGTACCTTAGGATCCTGAAATGTCTTCTGAACCACTCACGATTTATGGATTAATTAATGTTTATGAAGAGACAGTATTAGGCATTTTTATTGTATTTAACATTTTTTAAAGATGATAGTCCGTTTGCAACAAGTATAGTATCTCCTTTGTTTGGATAACTCAGTTGATCAGACATATTTATTCTTCTGGATGAGTGGAAGTCTTCTCTTTCTCATCCCTATTCGTTCAATAAAACTCATGATGCTTACACACTGCATCTCATGTCCTCATACCTAAGGTATGGATCATTCTTTTCTCTGTGTGATGGAGGAGTTGTGGCTCTGCCAGGAGCCCGAGGCTGTGACCCCCATCCCCACCTCATTATCCACCAATACATGCCTCTGATTCATTCAGATTGAAAGCAGGTGATGTTTTCTTGTGTGTTCTCCAACAGCACTTAGTCAGGGTTGGAATGCATTCAGAATATAGTGGTGGTTGACGCTACTGCTCACCTCTAAATCTATCCTGACATGCAGGGGAGTGTTTCCCGCAGCCTGCCAAGCAGGTGTCTCCGTGCCTCTCTCTCACGTTGAGTGTTGTCATTAGGTGATGTGGATGAGCCTGCTTTTATAATTTCGCTGCTCAAGGGAAATGAGTATTATTTTTCCTTATTTTACAGATATAGTCTACAATCTATTTTGATTAAGGCTCTATTTTACAGCTTGATACTAAAAGTAAACCGTGTTATGGATTGATGTCTTTCGGGAATCGGTGATGTCTGATAATCTGTCAGTCTTTGAGGCTCATATTGCTGGTAGTAAGATTAAGAGTGCTGATTTCATGAGTGAGAAGTAGTTCCTCTTTGATGAAAATAGAGAAGCTGTGAAAATGGATCATGGTCCAGTTTCTCCCCAGCCTCAGGGGAGATAGAATCAAAACAGGAACTCTTCAATTGCTATGAAAATTCTTTATGGTATATGGTATATTTAGCAGGTGTTTTCTTTTCAAAACAGTCAGAAATGTAAGAAATGCCTGTAATTGTACAGCCAAAGTTACTTTTGTAAAAACAAAACATTATTGTATTTTTATGCATATATCACAATTTCCATGGAGACTGTTTTCTTACCAGACTGTAATTTGATATATTTTCCCTAAAAGTCTTATATATTACCATATATGTTCAAACAAAAAGCATTAGAAACCAGGAAAACAGAAAACTTTTAAAAGCTTGCAGCCTTAATTTCTGACTTGATAGATAATGCTGATTACTGCATCGAGTGTATAAGACTCATTATTTCCACATTTGTACTTTTCAGCAGATGCTTGAACCTGACTTCCTGTCCTTTTGGAAACCTGGCTAATCCCATGTGGCCAGGGCCATATATTATGTGTCCTGGGGTTTCTGACATTTCTCCAGCTGTACTTTGGGTTTCTGGTTTTATTACATATTTTGTAGCATCACATACAGTGATAGTCACTTACTGTTTTGCTTATTTGCTTATAGAAATTGTTTTGGCATGCTCTCCTAAAACTAATTCTAAGCTTCTGTAGTTTTAAGTTTACTTGAAGTTAGCTTGTCTGGTACTCTTTGCCAAGTAATTACATTTCTCCCCCATTTCAGCTGAGCTTTCAGCACAAGATCGGGATCCTTTATTGCAAAGCAGGCCAGAGCACAGAGGAAGAGATGTATAACAATGAGACGGCGGGACCAGCTTTTGAAGAATTCCTTGATCTTCTGGGCCAGAGAGTGCGGCTGAAAGGATTTAGTAAATATCGAGCTCAGCTAGACAATAAAAGTAAGCTTCATATTTTTGTGTGTGTGCAAGTTTAATTCTCCAAAGGTAGGCAGACTGCGTAAATCTAAGCTAGTGATCGTATGACCTCATGTTCTTGACCCCAGGGCAGCCTAGCAAGCTCATTTGGGGTAGAGTTTAGATTTCCTCAGATGAGCAAAGAAAGCACATTTCTCAGGAGATCTGTGCTTCACATCATAAGCTCAAAAGGTCAATTATTTGTCCGCTGTAACACCAACAGAGAGGTTCCCTAGTGTTTCAGGAAGAATCTTTTAATATTTTCTTCTTTCTTTGGCCTCACCTCTTCTGTTATATCCTTGTTTCCAGTATACCAAGGACAAGTACTACATTCATTTCTAGGAGACAAAATATCCTTAACGCATTCATTCACTCCATGTTACCAGGCTTATTATGTTTGTTTCAGGATTTAGGATGGTAACTGGGGAGTTGGAGTAGTGATTAAAAGCATCATACTTTTCAGTGACATTAGTCAGGTGTCCCTGAGTGACAGGCCAATTTAAAACATGAGCTTTCTCTGTTGTATCATCATCTACATAATCATGTGCCTTCTGATCCTCATAAATTCTTTATTTTTCTAATCTTTGTACTTGTAGTGTTATTCAGTTGCTGTCAGCACCTAAAATACCAGGCAGAGTAATTTTGCTGGCTCTTCTAATGAAAACGATGAGCAGATAGACTCTGTATTTGGAGACTCTTAGAGAGCCCCTAGTCCACTCATAGTATCAGGAGACTTGAGACTAGTGAAGTAAAGTATAGTGTCAGAGAGTTAGGGGGTGGCATGGCAGACCCTGGATGGGAGCGAAGGCAGCCTGATGGTCATGTGGCTCTCTTCTGTCCACGGTTCTCTGCATCTCCAAGCCCTGCTCACGAAGTCCAGTCAATGTGGGACCATCATTAGTACTCCACCTCCATCAGGCTTGTGATTTTTATGTAGTGATCCAAGTCATTATGCGCCTGTCATGAGTTCTCAGCTTTTAGACGAGTTTTTGAATGTTACAGTTACAGGATACCACAAGACATGGAGACCGTGTTTGTTAACTCATATACGGACCACAGCGCATCCTGTACACATGTCAGGGTTGGAACTTGACTAGTACCTTGAATCCATATTGCTTATGTCTCAGACACATAAAGATTAGGAAATAATTCATGGCATGCAAGATATGAATACCCATATGTTTTAAGAAGATCATTGAGGCCTTTTCCTATTTTTCTTCTCATTTTTTTTTTTTCAAATTCCCCTTCTCTGAAAACCACCATCCACCACCTAGAGATGCAGATATGCGGCCGTCAGCAGTGTCCTTCCTGGTTGAAAATCACTGCTGATGTGCACTCCTGTAACTGATGAGCCGGTGTCGCCTCGCTTGAGTAAATTGGATTAAGAAAAAGGTTTAAGAACTCCTGATCTGTGCATTCCATAAAACTGCAACATACATAACCTAAATATTTTCCTACATAATAGAATTTGACATCAGCTTTGAATTTTTATGACCTTGGAGATATCATTGATACATTACAGATGTAGTACTAAGCACCTTAGCTCAAGGAGATGATAGCGTAAGAGCTATTTTTTTGATATGTTGACACTAATAATCAATAAATGTTTAAGTTATTTCTGTGTTATGCCTAAAAGATTTTATTAGGCGCTCTGAGAGATACAAAGAAGGCTAAGGCATGATCCCTTCAGCAGAGAAGAGATAATCTTTAAGAATTATGTTTCATGGAATGGTCACATAAAAATATATCTTTCGTGGACAAATAAAAATATTTCTCCTTAGATTTAGGAGGATCAGGTTCTAGTTCAAACCTTGGTCAAATCTGGGCCTCAGTTTCCTCACAAGTAAAATTCAGGGCATTGGGCTAGAATATCTTGGATCCCTTCCAGCTCTAAAATGGGTTGCTTCATTCTTAAGTACAAAATGAAATGGAGTCAGAACAGAGGGGATATGAGCTGCTAAGGTGCTCTACTAACCAGAGAGGAGCGTCGACACTGGGCCATGGACAGCCCTCATTTGGTCTAGATACAAAGAATGACAGAACTGATGGTCTGTATCTCTTTTCGGATAGAAATATTTGCAGCAAACCCCTGAACAAGCTTGTCGGTTTACTTTCTCCATTACCATACTGATGACTGAGATAAAAACTTTCAGGATACTTAATTTCAGAAATTCGTTTTTTAATATTGCAGTAATAGACAAACTGACCATGTTTCCCAAAAATGTATTTTTCTTCTTTGGTTGCAATTTCCTGAGTCTGAAGCCTGTTCACTAGACTATAAAAGTATCTGTCAGCACTTCTCTTACTGAATTTTAACCATTCAATGACATACTGTCGTGATGGGAGTAATTGAATATACCTGAGCTGTTTCATCATTTGATCTTCAGTATTGTTATCTGTGATTCATTTCCTCATTGAAGATCTTTAATCTTTTCCTGTAACTTAACTTGTTTACTTCCAAAGAAATGTTCAGTGTCAAGGTTCTGAACCAAGAGAATCAAAATGGCACATTACCTTTTAAGAAGTCTTATGGAAAATAATAAATATGTTGGCCCTATTTAGTGAATAGTTAACAGAGAAAATACCTTTATTTTGGGAGTAGTTGGCATACAGATTACTAGATGATTACTGACCATCTGCAAATTGATTTATCTATATCGTTAATGCAAATACTTTAAGTACTCCTCTTATTCATGAAATCAGCATATTTTTATGCAAATAATGCACGCCTTCTACATTTATTTGCCAACTGCGCCCTCCCCTGAGAGAGATTTTTGTAAGCACCGCTATGCCAGTTTTTTTTACATGATGCTGTAAAAAAAAACTATCATAGTGTGCTCACGAAATACCTCACAGAGGGAGGGAGCAGTTGACAAACAAACATAGAAGGAGCACGTTATTTGCTTAAAAATAGAATACCTTATGTAAGTACCTTTTCAGAGTGTCCAAAAACTGTGTATGATATTTTTTCCTAGAGAATTTTCAGAACTATCTCTGAATCAGACATAAATATAGGAAAGAAAGGCATACTGAATGATTCAGAAAGAAAATAATAAAGGCCTATGAAGGCTAATTTTTTTTTTAATTTTTAGAATAAAAATTTTAATTTTTTAAGTTACATAAAATTTAATCCAAAATAACTACTTTCTGAAGAAGTAATTTCAAACAAAATGAAATAAACTTTGTTTGAAATGATATTGAACAACATTTTTTTCATTGTTTAAAAGATAGAAAAATAAGCCTGTATAGAAATCAAAGACTGGGAAAAGCAATCTGTACTCTGTTTCTGACTTATTTTATATATATCTTTTTGTTTTCTTTTACCCATATGCAAAATGATTCAAAACTATAGCCCAAAATTATTACTTAAATATTTTATAGTTGCTGTGTTGGTTCTCGTATCTGAAACTCTAAATCTGAAGTAATCTAATTGATAGTACAAATGGGTTTTGAATTTGCAAAGAATCCTTTTGTTTTTCAAAAGATGAATGGGGTTCAGATGTCATAGTTTTTTGTTTTTTTTTTTAACATATGTCAGTGCATAATATACAGTAAGAGATCATATTCAGTCTCCATTAGTTTATTTCACTATATCATATTGCATTTTCTGTTTAAAGGAGAAAAATAATTATATCATTCAGTGAAAGAATTTTTTTAAAATAACAATTTTTATTCCTATTTCCATATAAAGTCAATTCTATTTCATTTCATTGGGGTCCTGGAAAATCAAGTGCCCAAGAATAACTAAGAACTATCAGTAAACACACAAACTCACAAAAAGATGGGGCAAGAATAGCTACTGGTTAGTTCACACCTTCCAATAATTGCACCTACATCTGCACTGTGCTGAAACTCCAGCCTCTTTCCTCCTCTACTCGCCTATCCTCCTCATAAGAGGAGTACCTAGCTCACAGTAGGTCAGCTGCGTCTGTACTGTGAAGGTGAGAATGTAGGATAAACGAGAGAGTATAAAATGAAAGTGGGCGGATGAGAGCAGATGAAGAGAAAACTGCACACTTAGACACAGTATACGGTGAGAGAACAGGATGATCAATATCAAGACTCTGGTTGGTTAGAGTTTTGTTTTTCAGTTAAACTGGCTCTTGTTATTACCTTAGGAATCTAGTGCTGCTCTAACAGAAATACCACAAGTGGATGGCTTTAAGAAACAAATTGATTTGCTCACAGTTTAGGAGGCTAGAAGTCAGAATTCAGCGGGCCAGCTCTAGGGGAAGGCTTTCTCTGCTGGCTCTGGAGGAAGCCCTTGTTTCTTCTGAGCTTCTGTTCCTGGACTATCTTCTTGTGGCTTGCCATCTCTCTTCCCCCATCTCTGCTTCTCTAGCTTCGTTGTTTAATCTCTTTTATATCTCAAAAGAGATTGACTCAAGACACACCTCACACTAATCCTGTCTCATCAATGGGATTATAACCATAGGCATAGAGGTTAGGATTTACAACACATATTTTTGGGAGACACAATTCACTCCGTAACATTAATAACGACCTAACTGTAAAAGTTCAAATTTTGTATTTGCCTAACTTTTTTTTTTTAATTAATCTTTGTTTTTAGCTGATTCTACAGGAACTCACTCCCTCTATACCACATACAAAGATTATGAACTCATGTTCCACGTGTCAACTATGCTACCCTACATGCCAAACAATAGACAACAGGTATGTCTTCACCCAGCCTGCTCCTTCTACAGTGAGTACTAAATCGGAGGTCAGCCATTGAGGATATAAACAGATGGAGAATTTGCAAAGAATCATTGTGTTTTTTTTTTTTTTTTTTTCCCGTGAATGGCATTGATAATCTTTGACTAGCCTATCATTGAAAGTATTTGGGCTTTAAAGGGAGTATTATTGCACAAATTTTATTGTACTTTTTTCTTATAAAACTTAGAAACTCTTCTACAGTCACCTTTATCGCTTGGTAGGCAAAACCTAAAGTAAATTAGCATCAACTGTGTAATTATAATAAAGCTAATTACATAATCTGAACTTAGGTTTCTGCATGTGGGTAAACAACTCATTTGTACAAAACATTATTTGTAATTGTTATAATCGGTGCTCCTTTCAACCATTCTTCCTCCTTCGGTTTTCATTGGATTTGTTGTCCTTTTTAGAGGAAAGAAATCTTATGCTTTGAATGTAGCTACTTGCTAAAAATTAAGAACCTTTAAAAACTTGAGTGACACATACAACTTCAAAATAAATTATGTAATAACTTTTTGGTATTACTATAAAGTGAGTTGAGCAAGACTTGCAAAGACTGGTAGTAGAATTATCACTTTTCTTTTCCTTGGGCTAGGAATATTTGAAATGTCATGTCTACTCTGCCTATGAGCTTGGCAGGACTTTGAGGATTGTTTGGGACAGAGAACGATCTCTGGGATAGAGACAGCTCCATTCCACCTCTGACTTTGAATCTAGTAGGCTCTTAGAATGCTAGAGCTAAAAACTCTTGAGAGAACAGTGACTGCCTCAGTTTCTGAAGATTCATTGACAGAAAGGTTTACAACTTACCCAGGATCTTACCACTGATTCGTGGCATGATTTAATTTTAGGGATTTGATTGTGTTTCGATGAACTCCACAATGAAAACAAAGTTTTAGTGTTTAGGAAACTTAGTTCTCCTGATGTAATGTAATTGCTACTCTTTTGCTCTAACTATATTAAAGCATAAGGACTACCTAAAGGTGCTCGATAAGCATTTGTCAAATAAATGAAAGTTAATTATTTCAGAGCATTTTTCTTTTTTTTTTTGACACTCAGGGAATTCTGTGAAGGAAGTAAAAAATCTACATTTTTAGAAAAGAAACTAAGCAGTCACCTTCTCCCCTTCCTCCATCAGTAGTTGCAAGAACTGCCTTAGATCCTACAGCTAAGATGAGAAACCAGGCCCCCAATTCCCAATCCAGGCTCTTCATTTTAGATGGCAACAGCCCCTCTTTTCATTGTTCTTCTCATGGTCATTGGTAGCTCAGTTTGTATGTGTTTTATGAGATGGAGTTACAGTCACTAGATCCATGCATGTATTTATATATGTTTTAACCTAAACTCTTAACAGATTATTTGGGATAATGCCAGATGGATTCACTGGATATTAAGAAGCTTAGTTTAGACCAGTGCAGTTGTCCAGCAGATACTTGTGAATCATTCAGTAATTAAACTCAGTGGGAGTTGTTGCCCAGAAAACTGATGGGGCTTACTCACACCAAGAAAATCTGTCAGTACTTTAGGAGGAATAGAGCCAGTGACTTTTGACCCCAGTCATTGAGTGTTCAAAGCACAGAGCTCTTCTACTTCCCTAATTACTTGAGTCATTGTACTCCAGACTGAATTGGCCCTATCTTTCACCTATGGAAACCTCTGGAGTTTTGAAGTCAGCTTAACCTTACCATTGCAAGAAAGCAAAACTGGCTTCCCCTGCCTCCTTTTGATTGCATGGTAATTAAAATCTGAGGGTTTATGAATTCTCTGTACCTGACTTTGTTTCACTGAGACTATCCTTGAAAGATCCTGCACACAAAAATCTGGAGAACTAGAAAGTGAAAGTATTGTGTATGTGTCTGTGTGTGTGAGAGAGTTTTAAATGTCCCAAATTGGAGATTTAAAAACACACACACAAAAAAACTCTGTAAATTGAAAATACACATTACAAACTCTGTAGCCCAAAGGCTTCTTTAGTTAATCTTTTTTTTAAATTTGAGTGATAACCCATGCCATTGAATAAGTTATGCTGATGGGATAGAGGTGGAAAACGTGAAATCTGTTTTCTTCTTTCTTTAAATTATACTTACCGTGTGTGGAAGAGATATGATATGGTTCTGTATGTGGCTCATTGGGAGATCTATGTACTTACCACACTGCCGGGGCAAGTCAGCATAATATAGAGATAACTGAAGAATGTTCGGTCAGTCACTTGCCCTGTGGCCTTGCGTAAAGTTCTTAGTGTCTCAAGAAGCCTTGGTATCCTTAATTATAAAGTGAGGACCTGGTCTGGATACCAAACCGGGGCGCCTTGAAGCACTGTATTGAGAAGGGTTCTGGAGTAGCACCCAAGCTCAGAAGAAAACAGCATTGTATTGTAGTGCTCTCTTTCCTGAGCATGTTTGGATTACATGCTGTAAAGATCGCTCTCTGAGTGTTAGAATTTTGTGAGGCTTCTTTGAGGCTTCCTTCTTCTTGGTTGCAAAAATGCTTCAACCAAAAAAGTATAGATGGTAGGAGCAAGAATTCTGGAGCCAGAGTGCCTAGACCTGAGATACAGCTACTAACTTGTGATCTGGGGCAAACCTCTCTTGGTTTCCTTTTAGGCAGGGGTTTTATCTGTTTCATTCACTAAGATAACCCTGTGCACCTAGAACAGTACCCAGAACATAATAACCAGTCAATAAACAGTTATCGAATGAATGAATGAAACCTTTCTCAGATGGTAGTTATGAGTTAATACATGTAAACACCTAAAACAATGCATAGCACAGAGTATTGGCCATATGTTTAATCGTTACGATTTTAGAATTCAGTAGAAGTAGGACAGGAGCATTTTGGTTGACTTAATTTTCATTTTATTTTTCTCTCCCCAGTGCTAAAGATCTATTATGAAAAGCTAAGGACTGAATAGTTAAAAGAGTAAAGGGATAATTATCCATTTCAGAGTGTTACTTTTACTTTGTCATTTAATGAAATATTTTGCTAATCACGAATTGTCATCAGAATGTTCTGTTTGTAGATTAATGATGTCACTGCAATCCTGAGACGTGTACTTCCCAGATTTGTTATGGGTTGTACTGCTTCCAGAACCCTTTCATGTCTCTGACCCACCAGCCTCATGCCCACAAATTATATAAACACCGAGGGCATATATCTGAAGTGAACAGCTGGGTTCACGAATGCAGGTTGAAGGCCACAGAACTTAGCAAAGTTAACTGACCTATACCCATTGGGCCTCATTAGCACTACGATGTTTCTGAACATTTGGTTCTGACTTGTCTACATCAGATCTAATTTCTTATGTTTGTTCTTGTAATAAGCTGAAAGCTGATTCCAAGATGTATTGAGAGTCTTTAGAGAGTTCACCAAAGATGCAAGAGTTTAATCTTTGGAATGTTGTCTGATTCTTATAAAGAAAACCTAGCCAGACCCAGGGAATGATAAGATACAGTGCTCCTAGGGCATTTTCTCTTTTCAGTTAATTTCCATAAATCTATCTGGACCTGTTGGACAAGTCAGACCCCCTTTCCCAGGGCTGTCTCCCCTGTGAAATTCCATTTTGCATGTTCTGTAGACAAGTCATGTTTAAGGTATCATGAGATGTTATCAGTGGGAACAGCTTTACAAATTAGCTGGTCTAGTGGTTTTCAAATTTCACTTTGACAGAGAAACTGTTTCTTCGAACTAAGTACAGGCAGTCCCCGGATTATGGACATCCAGTTTACATACAACATAGTTTCACACCAACCCCGTAAAGCCTATTATATTAAAAATTCAAGGTGCATACAACGATTCATAGTAACAAAGGGGCACTCCTTTGTGATGCGCATCAGAACATTATTATTGTTCTTATGTTAAAGATGTTTTAGTGTATCTGAAAATGTTTCTTTAATTTTTTTGTGCATAGAAAGGTATACTATATACTAAGACAAACATTTGACCAACTGATGTTAGATACCAACCATACCTAACTGATTTACGTACAAATTTGACTTAAAGACAGATTTATGAGCAGAACTCATTCATAATCCAGGTACTGCCTGTATATAAAACAGATAAGGGAGCACAGTGCCTGGCACATAGTAAACTTTTCTTTTTTTTTTTTTTAAACTTCTCTTGTTTTAAAGTGTGCGTAAAGTTGGAGCTGCTCTGGTTGGCAGGGTATCAGAGCCCCATGGAAGTACCTAAGGATTAGGACCAAACCCTAGGTTTCTGAGATTACGTTTGAAAATTACTGATCTTACACCAGTCCACCCTTTTTCTTGTATAGAAACTCAGTGAGAAAATTAGAACCTAAGGACCAGGGTCCAGAACTTATGATTGATTTTATGGGATATGATTATAATTTTCTGCTAAGTTCTGAGTTCATCTCTTGGAATTCCAAAGCTAGTAAGATAATCATTAAATGATGCGATTTTCTCTTTGCCAAACCAGGCTAATTTTCAGATGGTTGCTTCTCTCTGCAGAGCTGCCTTCTCCAGCTTCACATTAAACTTTCTCTTCCCTAACCTGCACTCTGAGAAACCTTCTGAACCACACCCCTCCTGCTTCTTTGTCACAGCCCGCTTTCCCCCCAGAATTAGGTGCGAAATGCCTCCTTTCTTTCTTGTTAAGTTAAAAAAAGATTAATACAAGTGAATTATTTATGTAGAGGC